TATATATATATATATATATATATATATATATATATATATATATATATATATATATATATATATATATATATGTATATTAACAAATTATTTCATTTTAACTGATAAATATATTCAAAAAAAATGAATATTTATAAAATATTAGTAATGAATAAGAGATGATTCTAAATATTTTTTGATAAAATCACCACTCTTAATAAAAAAAATTGTTTCATATTTTTAATTCTATTCTATTCTATTCATTTAAAATAAATGATAAAATTGTTTCATTTTTAAATAGATTACAATATATTATTTACAATGTGTATAAAAATAATTAATGAGTATAAAATAGTTTATTCGTAAAACTTTTATCATTTATCTTAGGTGAATATATTAATTTAGGTAAAATAATAGATGTATTAAAAAATAAGAAGAAACTAGCTTTTTTATTAAGAATTTTGTTAGATGATATTTATAATTTCATTCAAAACTAATATTTTTTTAAATATTTCTTTTAAATATATAGATATCATTTTATTAAGCGCTAATACTGGATTAAACATTATTTCTAACCCAACCATATTTAAATATATAGATATTATTTATAATAACACACCATTTATTTCTTACACAGTTACTGGATTAAAAGTAGTAAGAATCAACCATGTTTTACTATTTCTAAAAGACAATTAAATAAAAAACAGAACGAGTGTACAATTCATCAAAAATATAATATAAAAAGAAGTCAATATATTTTAAAGAAAAGTTAAAAAACTTTTAGACATCAAGTTGGAGAGACACATCTATCCGTTTTACATGTCGATAAAAATCACTCTCAAGAGCTCCATCATTCTCAAATCATCTAAACTAGAGAGAACTCCTTTGTCGAAAAGTATGACGTTCCTACACAATCAAATCAACCAACAAAGAGATAAACCAAAAATTCAACCCAAATTCAAATGATATCTAGACAGCATGGAAACCTCCAAAGAAGAAAGTCGCTCAATGAGAGACAAAGAACCGGAAGGAAAATCAACTTGAAGCCAATCACACTTTTAATCCACCAAACTAAAGAACCTCGGAAACCACCAAAAAGATGTTCGACATGTTCATCTTCCCACAAACAAAGAGGACAACTCAAGTTGAGGGAATCACCCAAAATACGACGCTTAAATAAGTTGGTCCTAGACTGAAGATGGCTCAACAACAATCTCCTAGCAACAAAAAAAAATAGACTTGCTTAGAGTTTTCGTTTTCCACGTCGATCTCCGCAATGAATAGATTGTTCACACAAGAATAAGGAATCACATTGTAGCAATCTTTCACCGAAAAACTGGTGGCCTGCCGCTACCACAAGCAATGGTCGGCTGATCCAGAACCAGCCGAACTGGAAGTAAGGTCTACAATAATTCTGCCACAGCAAAAGCCGCAGTCTAGTGCAAAACCGGCCCCGCAAACCACACCATTCAAGTCCACATTGTGTGGCACCAATAACCATAGCTCCTAGAGACTAGAGTGTTGCACACAGCTACATCTAGCGGTACTTCAAGATGACATATCCGTATATGATGTCGGATGTTCCGGGAGTTCAACTTAGGTCAGCTCATTAGGAGATACTGAAGTTATATCAGACTAGAGCAGATCATATTACTGATGTGTTTTTTAGATGTCGGTGTATCATGGATATGATGCATCCCGATATATACAAAGAATTTTTTTTCGAAAGACTTTAAGGCAAGAGACATTCTATATGTCATCATGAGGAGGCACGGCACTACAATACAAGAGGTAGCATAGAACAAAGGGGTCGTGTTCGTCGTACACGGTAATATATATTATTTGTATTACAACCACTATTATCATTTGTACTTTATTTTGATTTAATTATCTACCTTAAATTTATCCATTAATATACGTCATTTTTATATTATTTAGTTAAGATATGATTTAATTTATACAAATTGAATATGATAGTATAGTTATAATTCGTCACCATTTAAATCAATATATCTTTAAAATAAAGTTTAAAAAAAATTGATGACATTACAAAAAAGAATTTTCGAATTCTTTCTAATGTGAATAGACAAATGCATTTTCAAATTCATTTTATGTCAATACAAGTGTTTTTCTATAAGAAATGTATGGAGTATATATAGAGTGGTTCCAAAATAAAATTTGAAAGAAATATGAGATAAAACTCAAGTGTAGATTTTGGTGAGACTCTGGGTGCCCTGAAAATATATTTCCAGAAACAAGTAGACATTTTGAAATTTGCACATGTTATTTTTCTCCCACTTAGAGTAAATTTAATAGTTAACATTATCAGCCATAAGTTAACTTAAAAAATGTCGACTATAAATTCATCTTTAAAAATTAACTAACTTTTAAAAGGGTCTGAAAGCTATGAAGATTACAACACCAATCAATCTCCCAAGTAATTGAATTGTGGCGTTTCTCTTTCATAGTCCTTAATCCCTTATGATAGAATGATCAAAACAAAAATGACATAATAGAATCAAATGCATATATAAAAACTCTTAGAATATGTGGATTGGATTTAACTCAATCCTATAGAACCGACTTATAAGGTGAAGATTACCCCCACTTATAAACACATATTCAGATCATATATTGTCCGATGTGAAACTCTTAACAAAAACCATTAAACTTTAAAGAGGGGTAAATCCGAAGGCTGGTGTAATAACTACAGTCTGGGCAAGTAAAATGAGTTATCTACAATAATTTGACAATGGCAATAACTATCACATCTAAATCTTTAGCAAATCCAAGAACATAAAGCAAACAGCATGCTTCACAAATTATTTTTGAACTCTCAAATCATCGGTATGTTTTAACACCCAAGAGCACCAAGAAACATTGTGACCTCTCATGAGTATGATACATATTTCAACAACCAGCCTGCCCTCCTTTTCCAAAACAATTCTTATATGTTGTACTTTTTCTAGCGCCATTTTTCACTGCTGGCTCCAGCCATTGCCATGCTTTTCTGGAAAATTCACGACATAGATATCAAATTCAAACGGTGAAATCAAACCCTGACAAAAAGATGAAAATATATTCAGTGTGAAGAATAAAGAGATTTTTCTTACAACTTAAATAAAATAAGCTTATAGTTCTGTGGTACCAAAGTTCCAATCAGCACAATACTGAAATCCAAACTCCATAAAAACACAGGAAAACATAAAAGGTACCCATGGTTTTGTTCCTCAGCTGAAGAACCTTTACCTTGGGATGTGGAATGCAATGTTAGACTCGGTATGAACTAGAAACATTGACTTTGGTTAGATTTCCACGTTTGCAACACTGAAAATAACACAAATTACTTATAAGTTATATAACCAGACAAAAATCAAAAGAACTACTAGAAATAGACTCAAGCACAACAAATTATCAAGAGAAAAACAAAATATCATTCATTGTAATAAAAAAGAAATCAAATCAAAGAAATCTAAATCATTTATTATAAACAATTTTTCTCTTCCATCTCTCACGTTTACTTGTTTCACTATCTGGATCAGTGTTGTCGATGACAGATGGCGGTCCATGGCAGAGAGCCAAAACCCACCATAACAGCTGCTTTGTGGTGCCGTTATAGTGGATTATGGTGGAAAAACCCGCAATATCGACAGATACTTATCATTGCAGCGAGCCCAAAAACCATGATGTATATCCGCCATAGCGACTATAGCACTGCTACTTGATAACACTGATCTGGATTTTCCCGTAGTTTTCTGTTTCGGAATCTTCAAATTGTGACTAGCTGTATCTAGAAGCGAGAAAAATGATAGAGCAAAAAAGTGAGGAAAATGACATGTGCTAAGTTGTTTTTTCTAGTATCATTTGGAATTTTGTTGTTACTAGTGGAGGCAATGTAGCATATGTTTATGTTTTACTCTGTAGCCGTTAGATGAAAACATGACCATAGGCTTTAATTGGTGGAAGACGAACTCTGAGATTGATCTGTAGTCCTCCTATATGTACATTACTTAAACTTAACAAGTGAAAGCACCACAACAGAAAATGCTGGTGTCTTGGGAGTTGGGAGAAGTTAAGTTTGCTTGTATCTGAGCCAGAGGGCTGATAACTTCAGAGGATCGGAAAAAATATTTAGGATAAGACTGTCAATCACAAGTTTCTATAAGTTCTAACGGTCATTATTTGTAAGAAACTAAAGAATATGGACGGAGAGAAATAATTCTGATGCATTAGTTTACAGTATTATATATGTCATTCGTAAGAAGCATAATAAGTATGAGAATATATGCTTAAATTTATTCTGAAATTTTAATATCATGCAATAGCACCACGCGACAATAAAATATAAGTATGAAAAAGACACGAAAAAGGCATTTAAACTTTATATAGTGCAAAAGCAACTTTAACTTGATGAACAACGGAAAAAGAAAGAGTTCATATCATGAATCATTGCATTACTCTTGTTCGTATATAAAAGACCGAAAAGCTCAAAATAGTTACATTGCCTGAACAAAGATGATACCTAAACAGAATGTCCTGCTAAAAATTTAAAATCCAAAATTGACTTGCTCAGTGAAAACTGTTCCTGAAATTTACAAGGAATGAAAAAAATATCAATTTCAACAGAGAAATAGAGCAAATTGAAGAAAGAACACATTTAAAGTAGAAAATCAGAAGAGAAATCTTGAAGAATAAACAAATAATGAACAGTAATGTGAGAAAAGAACCAAAAACTAGACCCATAAGATTTGTTTGGGAGTTTAGGAGGGGAGGAAAGAGCTTTGGAAAAAGGAAGGATGAAGTGGAAAGAATGAAGAGTTTTGGGAGGGGAGGGATTTAGGGAATTTATCTTTTTACATAATACAAAACCCCCAGTATTGGGGAACTCAAAAATTGTATTGCAGGGGGATTTTGGAGAGCCTTGATGAGTTGTCCAGATTCAATCTATCTATGTTATTATAATTTCTCTGGATATTAAAATTATATAAGCACACATTTATTTATTATTATGTAAAAGCACTCACTCAAAAAAATAAAAAGTTTATCACCCCTCCCCTCCAAACTCCCAAACAAAGCTTAAAGGTATAAAAAAACATTATGACCACAAGATGACAAATTAACGTGGAAGGGAGTGTGTTTCCGACAATATGCAGGGCAAGAGACAACATTGGCAATCTAAAAGCCTGAGGAAAATGTATGTCAAAAAGATGCATTACTTGGAGTCCTGCAGCATAATATAAACGAATACCAAAAGATACTATCTAACAAGAGAGGCATACCTATAATGAAATAATAGGATAGTTTTGGTACAGAAAACAAGGATGCCATCTTAAAATAATTACCTATTACTGTGTGGCAGCTCACATAATCTAACATCACCATCATTGTCCAAACTGCAATTGTTGAGAATAACCAATAACCTTCTGAAGTAGAGGGATGAGGCCAATCAAAGCAATTTGAAGCTGTTCTGAACTATTTAATCGAAAGCTAATTTGTCCAGCCCCACGATTGTTCAAATTGCCTCGCGCAACAAGGTTTGAATACCGTCCAACAGGAATTTGTGATTGTAAATTGCACCCAACAGCAAGATCTCCATGCCAATCCATAACAGAAAGCCCAAGAGTTGATAATGAGCGTCCTAGAGGGTAATTTTTATCTCTCAAGGTGGCCTCCAAACTGCCACCATAAGCAATATCATCACGCCCAGACATTGCACCGCCAGCAATAACCAACTCGAATTGCTTATTTGCAATCAGTTTATCTTCGACTTTAACACCAGCTGACAAGGCATCACCCAAGAGAGTAAATGAGAGACCAGCAGTTGCTTTATTTCTCCTAAAATTACAAAATTTTGTCTCACTGCGTAGTGTGTAAGCCAAGTCTTTCCCAACAGTCTGCATATCAAAACCTAGCGATGTTGCTTTCCCTTCTCCATACTTAACTGAACTTGCCATTTCCATCTGAAGATTAACATCTTTTTTATCCTTGGTAACTTGACCACTAAAAGACACAGGTATCTTCTCTTTAAGAACAAACAACCTTTCTACATTTAAGCCTTCATAACCCACATCATGATCCCATCCCTGAGTTTCTAGGACAGGTCTTACAAGCCACTGGTTGGATGAATCGAGATAACGGTACCGGTGAGTGGGAGTATCAGAATCAAAGGAAGCAGGCAAGGACATATCAGGCATGGGAACAGGAACAGAAGCAGCGTCGCCACTTTCTTCCTCCACATTTTCACCGTAATCACTTGGCAGATCCTTCACTGATTCTGCCATTTCCTTCATCATCTTTCGTTGCATTTTTTCATACTTTAATTGTTTCTTCATGAAGAGTTTTTCTCGGTACTCAACCTCATCCAGATATGCTTTCTTTTGAGCTCTGGAAAGGTTTCTGATTTGGGCCTTTGTCAAAGGTTTAAATGGTGGTAAGTCGTCAGGGTCTGTTTCATCACCAGAATCTGATGGTTCATCAAGATCGTCATTGAGACTGTCCTCATCATTGAATTGCTCCTGCGGCAATTTTAATTGTGGCCTTGACTGCAGAAGGGAAGACAGGAGAAACGGTAATGGTGGCGCTCTTGCACGAGCTGTGTAGGGCTTTTCATGTGGATTATCTTGTAACTTAAGAAGAGCATTTGCTTCCGCCAGAATTTTTGATGCAAAAGATAAGAGTAACAGATGAGGTTTCCAAACCTGGTCGTTAGGCAACACTCTTTGGCCGGCCGTATTAATTCTACATGCAGAATGGTTCTCCACCAATGGTTCTCCACCAACGATACAGGATTCATGAGACGCATATCACCAGCTGCTTGGCGAATAGCTTGCTGCACAACATGAGAGCGCTGTGTGACAAACATGTCATAACTGGAAGGAGTTCCATTAGGTCCATCAGGTGGAGCAGATGCTGCATGAGTCAAAACCACAATAGCATTGAACCATATGGGTGGTCCAAAAATGTCAGTTATCGTGCGTAAGAGTGGCATATCACTAAAATCCCGGCTCTGCATATCTAACCGATCAAGATACAGAACAATATCTGGTGGTGTTTTCTTAATAAAGTGTTTGACAGAGTGGAGAATCTTCACATTGTGTTGCTGGTCTGACCAGGAAGGTAGAAGTCCTGGTGTATCAATGACCCGGACTTTAATACCCTGTACGGTTCCCACAACATCCTGAACCTTTTTTGTTCCCACATGAAAAGCATCAGTCTTAAATTTAACCTCATCAAAGATAGAATTGATAGTTGAACTTTTTCCAACTCCTGTCTTTCCAATAACCATTATTGTACAAGAGAAATCAAGTGGCTCTTGACCTGCTGATTCGAGTTGCTCGGCCATTGCACTTGCACGATCAAAGCTAAAAGAGCCAACACGGCCCCCGTTCCTCCCTCTAAGTTGTTCGGCCAGTCCTAATCTATAAAGAACTTGTGCTACAACAACATTGTGGGGTGTCTGTCCAAACCTATTAGCCAGCCGCAAGAACTTCACCCTAATCATTTGAAGTTTCTCTCGAGTTTCATCATACTCCTCAGCCTCCACAGTTGAGGAGTCTTCTATTTTTTGGGACTGTGTGTTAGATACAGTATTGTTCACCCGCGGCTGCTGCACTACCCTGGGAGTAGGTTCCAATAAAGGAGTTGCAGGTCCAAGGTCAACAGGACGAACAAGAGGGGTGCTAGTAGTAACAGATTTTCCAGATGAGGAATCAAGCTCACTATTTTGTTCTTTAGTGATCTGATTGGTTTGCTTTTCTTTAGTATTATTCACCCGTGGCTGCTGCATTGCCCTAGGAGCAGGTTTCAATAATGGAGCTGCAGATCCAAGGCCAACAGGACGATTAAGAGGGGTGCTAGTAGCAACAGATTTTCCAGATGAGGAATCAAACTCACTATTCTGTTTTTTAATAATCTGATCGGTTTGCTTTTCTTTGGTATTATTCACTCCTGGCTGCTGCAGTACCCTAGGAGCAGGTTTCAACAATGGAGCTGCAGATCTAAGGCCAACAGGATGATCAAGAGGGGTGCTAGTAGCAACAGGTTTTCCAGATGAAAAATCAAGCTCCTGTTCATTAGCGATCTGAGTAGTTTGCTTCTCATTCGCATTATTCTCTGGTATCTTTTCAGGTTCCTGAACAACAAATGACTTATCATAATTTCCTTGATTTTCTTCATTCGAAATCTTTGACAGGTAAACTTTTGTATTCCCTTCTTCGGGATCAGCTGCAGCAGCCTGAATAGTTGGCATCTCATTAACAAAAGACTTTTTTGATGAAGACGAGCTTCCAACAATTTCAGTCACTGTTCTTCCATCCAAAGCCGGAGAAGATCCTCCTGTTTCAGCTGCAGTAGCCTGAACAGTCGGCATCTCATTAACAAAAGAGTTTTCTGATTGAGATGAGCTTCCAACAGTTTCAGTCCATGTTCTTCCATCCAAAGCTGGAGAAGATCCTCCTGTTTCAATCACTTTGCTTCTTTCAGCAACAGATAAGTTTTCATAATTTCCTTCATTTTCTCCATTAGAAATCTGAGACCGGTAAACATTTGCAATACCTTCTTCTGAATCAGCTGCAGTAGCCTGGACAGCCTTCATCTCATTAGCAAAAGAAGTTTCTGACAGGAATGAGCTTTCAGCAGTTTCAATCACTTTGTTTTCATCCACAGCGGGAGAAGATCCTCCTGCTTCACCAATTGTTTCCAGATGCTCTGAATTTGATCCGGCATGATCATCCTCAGCTGTATCAGATATTCCCATTTCTTGGCCATTTGTATCACTGTCAATGATATCAGTATAAATGATATCAGCAGTTTCAATCACTTTTGTTTCATCCACAGCCGGAGAAGATCCTCCTGCTTCACCAATTGTTTCCAGATGCTCTGAATTTGATCCGGCGTGATCATCCTCGGTTGCATCAGATATTCCCATTTCTTGGCCATTTGTATCACTGTCAATGATATCAGTGTCAATGGAGTCATCCTCCATTTCTACAGATCTTTCAACCGTATCATCCTGAATTTCATTATAAGAATCTCCTGAAGCATGACACTGTTCCTCTATCTTTTCATCTCTGAGATCAGGATCCAAGCCACCCCCTTTCAAACACCCAGCATCAGAACACAATTCTATATTAAACTCATCAACAGCATACTCCACCTTGCCCGTGCTTCCAGTTTTCGAAATCACACCACCATTTTGTCTAGGAGTCACGTATTCCAGATCCTCATCTTGATCCTTCTCACTTGATAAACCATAGTTTCCATTCACCAAGTCCTCATCTTCATTCTTCTCACTTGATAAACCAAAGTTTCCATTCACCAAGTCTCTACCCTCCTGAAATACCCTGCTTCTATCAGTATTTAAATCAGATAACTCCTTTCCCCCACTAGAATCATCTCTAATAATGTAAGACTCGTCACAAGATACTCCACTGTCAATCTCTGCAATACCATCTAAACAAGAGCTATAAAGTTGTCCCGGCTTATCCTCCCCAGGCACCTCCTGCGTATCAATCACTTCAACTTCCTCCTCAATCAAGTGTTCAACACCCTCACCAGAAACCTCAATTGAATCTTGAAATTTATCCAGTTCTTCCGCGTTATCAGCAACCCCATCAACGTTAACATTACCAACAACAACATCACCCTGATCATCCAAACGCTTCACTGCACCAACAGCCTCCTCGAAAACCCCGTCTCCTTCCAAATTCTTCAACTCATAAGATCCCCCAACACTCTCCACTCTCTCTCCCTCTTTACCCATCTCAAATCTTCACCTTCACACAAAACCCTAGATTCACCATAAACACAAAAATTAATCCATCATAAATCCTTTTAAAAAAACACTAACTACACAAAATCAATGCCGTATAACAATTAAACACAACATCACCCTCAATAACAATTAATTAAAATCAAAATCCAACCCAAACTATATAATTCTACTAGGGTTTAACTTTAACGTATATATAATCAAATGAAATAAAAAATAACTTGGAATTAAATTCATTAAATTCGTAAAGTAAATAAATAACAATAGCGAAATCAAAAACCTGTGATGAAGCGTGTGGCTCTTTCTGTCTCTGTCTCGGGGTTGAAAAGAGAAGTGATAAATTCTGCTTCACTTCATATATTGGTTCATTTCTACAGCAAGTGAGTTCAGGATAAGGGATAAGATCAACGGTTGAGATGAGTGGGGAGTTTATAGATGGACGGT